GGGGGAGCTGTCTTAAAAGCCAGTCTCTGCAGTGCCGTCCCTCTCCCCCTTCCCCAGTGCTGTTGCCTCTATTAGAGGCACCAGTGTGGGGGGAGGCTGCCATGAGGCAGAGGCTGATCCAGCAGGTGACATCTCCTCGCTGGGACCCTCCGTGGACAGGAGTTGCTGGACCCAGCACAAGCTGGGACAGAGCAAGCCTGGCTCAGTCCCAGCTCACACTGGGTCTAGGAGCCACCCCCGCTGCGGCTCTGCACTTTCAATACAATAGGAGCTGGGATGCCTGCCAGTTGTCATGGGTGGATTGAAACAGCACCAAGAGCAGAGTTGCCAGGTTTCTGGTTTTCAAATGGAACAGCTGCACAAAAAGGGACCTTGGCGGCTCCAGTTAGTACGTCTGACTGACCTGCTAAAAGTCTGATTGGCAGAGTAGCAGGGCTAAGGCAGGCTCCCTGCCTGCCCCGATCCATGCGGGTCCTGGAAGCTGTTGGCATGGCTGGCTTCTAAGTGCAAAGGCATGGGGTCTGAGCATCACTGCCTCAGTTTCCATTGGCCGGCAACCATGGCCAGTGGCAGCTGTGGGGGTGGCCTACCTATGCCCCAGCTCAAGTGCTGCTGTAGAAAGAGAGAGCTGGGGGAAGTCCTCTCCTCCTGCCATAGCCCTAGAGCACTGTCCTGCACGCCAAACCTCCCTGCCCCAACTCTGAGCCCCGCATCTCCAGTCCCAGCCCTGAGCCCCCTCTCACACGCAGAACCCCTCAGTCCCACCACGTGATTTTGTTACGTGCATCAATATGAAGGTGATGTGATATTAGGGATGTGAGTGACTAGTCAAGCTGACTACTCAACTACTTGCATTCCCTCTCTCCCCTGCCCCCTCTCCCCTTGCTGCCTCTATTACAGGCACCCAGTTTTCTGCTATTAGAAAGTTGGCAATCCTACCAAAAACTCTCAGTCCCCATTTGCTCAGCACTTCTCAGCATCAGGCCCAGTGCTTTTCAGTGTGTATTCTCCTTAAAGAGGAGGGTTGGCAAAGCTAACTGAATAACATTTGTTAAGATGTCTTTTTAGGAAATCCATCCGTGCGGTGGAAAAATATTAATTTCCAAAACATATAAGAGAGATCTCAAACATTGGTATCTGCTGGGATTTGTTTATACTGAAAAGGAAAATCAGAGCACAGTTCACCAAACTGGAATTAAACACCCTAATTTTTAATAAAATCAGTATCTGTGTTAGTAAAAGACCGAAATCTGTGAGAAGGGACCTTCTGCAACCTGCTCTAAAACAAAGCCCTCACACTGCAACCACTTGCTGCATCCTGGAGTTTGTTTTTATTAACAAAGTTAATAACGTTAACAAAATTAACTGAAGTTACCTATCATGTAGGAGTTAAGTAAACGTCATTAAGGACTCCAGTTTTCTTGAGAACTTCAAATTTTCTTTCAAAATCAACCTGCAATGTTTACAGACACCATACAAAAGAGCGTGTTGGTAATCACCTCTGAGTCATTTTAATATTCATCTTTATTCTCTTCACACATTTTGTACAAAAGTGTTATTTTTTTCTTTCATTTGAGCTATCTACAAACCCACCTTGACTTAGAATGAACTTGCATATCTAGCTTCTGTGTAATCACTTTTCCTTCTTCCTGCATCTCTTGATTGCCTTCCTGACTGGTCATTCTGCAAAATCTAAATGAGCCCAAACAATCATGGATGCTCAGAAAGCTTGTTAGTCATTGTATTTCTCTCTTTTGATTGCAAGAATAATCTGATCTGAAGCAAAAGATCAAAAAAACTTTGCTAACTGTTTCTTTCTAATTTAATTTTTTTACCCCTTGTCCAGTTCACTTCAGTGTACAGCAACAGATATGCATAAGCTCCATCAATTAGGCTTTGAACAAATTAACAGAGAAGATCTCTAGCTTGAATGAAGATAAACATTTTTACCTCTTCTGCCATAACATGTCAACTCTTCCGTAGAGTGCGTGATGAGGGGGAAGACCAAGGAAGTTTTGGATCTAATTGTAGCTATGTTCTTACTGTTGTTACTGTAACAAATTTCTTCACCAATACTTATTAACATATTGCTTACCCTCTATTCCTTTTTACTTCAGATGCTATTTCCAAAGTATCTTCCTTTCTGCTGTCATGATCCAAATATACATAGAATTGAGCCAGAGCATTGTTTAGTGGAATTGAAGTGAGAAAAATATTTACTGTTTCAAATTGCTTTCATATGTTGATATATACCTTAGACGAGTCAAAAGAATTTCTTAACCTTTATATTTGCACCTGCTTTCATGTAGTTAATTGAATGCATAGTTTCTTGCTTCATTTTTAAGTCTTTAAGCCCTGTGTGAACTGCCTTCAGTCTGCTTTTTTATTTGATAATGTAGTGAAATAAAACAAACAATGAAAGACTTGTTTTGCAAGTTCACATGCAGCTATGAAGGGGCCCTTTAATGGTAGCCTTTCCTTTTAATGGCTTCCCTATGGTCTGTTTATCTCTCAAAAATAAGTTAATCTCTTTGAAGATTTCTAATTTTTAGGTTTTTCCTCTTCATAATAGTCTCACAGTGATGGCATTGGTGAGAGATGGATGGCACTTTCCTGTAGGATATATAACTTTCTTTTTTCTCGTTCTTCTTGTGTTTCTTCTTGTTTTTCTTGGGCCCTTCCACCACAAAAATGTCCAGATAAATCACTAATAATTGACTGGTTTGGTTTAACCCTAAATAACAACTTCTCCCCAATTCACTTCATGTGTCCCCTTTTGGCTGCTCTTATCCTCTCCTATCAGTGTCTACAGAGAGGTTCATCCTTTTCTTTACCTCCCCAGTATGCCTCGTGGGATGAGGTTTACGGGGGAGGTCAACAAATGCCTTTGATATCAACCGTGGAGCATCCAGACTACTGCGCTGAGCCAACAAACAGCTGATCAGTCCAGCACGGCAACCATTTAAATTTAAATGAAGCAGTGATTATTTAAATCGCCGTTTCATTTTCCTATGCCGGGTAGCCTAATCTACATGCCTCTGTCGCCAGAGGCATGTAGTCTAGACATACCCTTAGTTGCTGGCTATGCTTGCCTTTCTCATCTTGCCCTTTGACTGTGAGTATGATTAAAGGTTAAGGCAGGATTTCCTCTCCTCCTTAGTCATTGACTAGAACAAGCAAGATGAATATGTTGGGCATCCCCCAACGAGCTACTTTGGTATCAGAAGGTCTTTTTTCTGTTTCTACAATACCTCCTGTTGCTCTAGAGACAGCAGAAGGCACTATAGGTTTATCTGTGATCTATATGGTATTTCTGGCTTGGGAGGAAGAGGAGGAAGCTGGTGATCTGTGTGGTTATGTGACTAGTCGACTATCCAATAAGCAAAAGCTTATTGGATAGTCAGCACATTAGTTGACTTGTCACTTCCCCTACCCTTACTGCCTCTATCAGAAAGAGACAGCAATGTGGGGAAGAGAAGTGGGTTCTGGGGGAACCGGCTTAAAAACCGGTGTCTCCCCTTCCTCCCCCCCCCCAGCTCCAGCTCCGTGGGAGAGGTAAGGGCGCACAGTGGTGGCATTCCACCTTTGAAATGTACAAGAGTCACTGCTTGGGCCGCCCCTCCCATTGATAGCCATGGAGGTCTTTCATCTTGCCTTTAAGTGTCTTGTGGGGCCACCTTGAGAGAGACACATGTTGAGGTGTGCTGCTATTGTTATTTTCCCTAGAAAGAACAGAGTCCTGGCTGTGTTCCTAGCCTGTTGATAATAAATAATTCTTTGTTACTTTATTTCTTTAGACCTGCAGGGAACAAAGAGGGTTGTATATAAAGCCTATTATATTGTAATTTACGTCTATTTACTATACAGTCATTCCTCATTTAACACTCTAGATGCATTTCTGAAAATCTTTCGTGGTAAGCGAAAACGTGCTATGTGTGGTCAATTTTCCCATTAAAAATAATGAGAAAAGGTGGAGGTTGCATTTCAGGTGGTGGTGACAAAGTCAATTTTTTGTTTGTGCTTGGTCATCAACGTCAGCATTAGATATCTAGCAACACAAATTGCCACAGTTTGTTAAAACACAAAGATAAACACGTGAGTGAGCGGAGGAGCTCTGTGATGACGTGTATTCATCCACTCATGCATATTACCACTGTTTTCAACAACTTATACTGCCACACAAAGTAGTCTGCCACTTGATTATTTTCATGTTGTTTTGGGGATGGCCATGTTATTTGAAAAACGTTCCCTAAAGAAAAAATCATGCTATTGCGAAAATGTGTTAAGCAGGCACATGTTAAACAAGTAATTACTGTACCTTTTCTCCATGCCCTTTCAGAAATTCTGTTTATTTTCTGTATTCCCTTGTAGGCCTAGACTTCTGTTGGAATCCCTTCTTTAGGAAGGTTGAGGCTGGTGTAATGCTCTCTTGTTGTGTTACTAGATTTGTTCCTCTTGTGTGTCAGGGGTGGGAGGGAGGGCTTGTCGATTGTTTTCATTTGGTTAGGTTTGTTTGTTTGTTTTTCCAGACGTGATTTTCAGCCTTGTCATTTTCAGCAGGTGCAGGCCTCTTGCTAGGCAACCTCTGCAGCCCTTTCATTTAGAGATCAGAAATCTGAGCTCCCCTTGCAGGTTGCAGTGCTTTTGGTTTATCATCTTGTTCTCTAACCATCAGCTTAGTGGTTTGACCTTTTGCCCACACTATTTCTGATCAGCATTTACCAAGGTTTTCTTAAACGTTTTTGCAGAACTTTGCAACTTCAGGGTATAAATGTTAACTCTTTAATTCTTCACTACTGTGTTATTGTCTATGGTCTGCTGCTGCCTGGCAGTTTGGGAGTAAGTTAATCCATCAATTCTGGGTTAGAAGTGCTGAATTATAGACACTTCAATGTAGGTAAAGATGACCTGTTATTCATACAGTAAATCAGAGTTTTATATTCCATTTTGTTTTGAATAGTTGGAGAGAAATAGTCACCCATTTTTCTTTTGCTCTGCAGGTCACATTACATTTGAGTCCCATTTCCTCAGTGCACATTCACCATAAGCCTGTGGTGTTCCTACTGAATTCTCCTCAGGCCCTCACCTGGAGGATAAAATCAGAAAGACTGGCATCTGGAGTCCGAAGATTTTTCCTTGTAAGTTTACCAAGTCCTCTGCCGCTCGGTAACACAACATGTGGAGTGAATGGTATTCATTTTGAAAGATTTTAAGCATATCTTTAAAAAGTTAACAGAAGATCAAATTTCAATGTGAGACTCTGGGGAGCAATTATGGGGCATGGGAAAGCAGATTGGGGAAGTGCCTAGTTACTTGTTATGTGAATTAAAAAGAAACTTGTTTTGTAAAATTTACAAAAGTATGTGAACAGTTTGAGAAGTTGTGTAGTGAAGGACCTATCACCAATCCTGATGAGAAGTCTTGAATGTACTAGAATGCTAAAAACATCAGAGCAATAGGAAATCTCACGAGTAGCTGCTAATTGTGTGGTCTGTCAGCAAAATACAGGTGTGTAAGCTAACTTCTCATGTGCACAATGCAAAGTTTATTTCTGACATGAGGTTTTGTTGCACTTCTGGGGAGGACCAAACAAAGTCTAAAATGAAGCCATAAGTGTTTCTCAAATGTCTGGAACACTGATTACATCTCAAGGACCAAATGCTACCTACTGTTTGTAATTCATGTTCTTTTAGTTTGCCAGGACATTAGAGTTTGCTATTTGTAGTCAAACAGACTGGTTGTTTGGATTAGATTTTTAGCAAATGACATAATGTCTAAGGATGAGTTTTCTCTATTAGAATTGCAGCTTTGCTATTTTCAATTATAATCTCAGAAGTAAACATGATTATTTATAGCTGCAGGATATCCATCTGGGTCTTAGATTTGCTTATAAAGCACAGCTGTCAGTGGTGGACAGTATAGTGGTGCACTGCCTAGTGGAAGCTTCTGGAGTCATTGTGCCTCAGACAGGTAAAATGCCACCAGGAGTACAAGGTGGATACGATACGCTGTGTACTTTCCCCTGCAGCTGACCAGCTACAGTGCTAGATGCTAGTAAGCCTTGAATCCAGAGAAATGCAAGAGCTGCTATTGTCCTCAAGCCCTGTTGCTGGTACAGAGAAGAGGAAAGTTTGAGCCCTTGATATTTTCAGTAGAAGTGTCAAACAATTCAAATTAATTGCAATTAATTGCACTGTTAAACAATCATAGAAAACCATTTATTTAAATATTTTAGATGTTTGATTATTCTACATTTTCAGATATATTGATTTGAATTACAGTATAGAATACAAAGTGCACAGTTCACACTTTATATTTATTTTATTACAAGTATTAGCTCAGTAAAAAAAAAAAAAAAAAAGCAAAAGCAATCATATTTTTCAGTTCATCTACACTGTAGTGCAATCCCTATCATGAAAGTTGAAGTTATGAATGTAGAATTATGTACAAGAACTGCAATCAGTAAACAAAATATTGTAAAATTTTAGAGCCTGCAAGTCCACTCAGGATAGGCATAGTAAGAGTGGGCAGCGGCAGATATAAGGCAGGGCGAGCGAGGCGACTGCCCTGAGCCACACGCTTCAATAGGCCCCGCACCAGGGGCGGACTGACCCAGCGGGATACCGGGAATTTCCCGGTGGGCCATCTGCTGAAGGGCCGGCCAGCGGCTGCTGGAGGAGGAGGAAGATTGTGGAGGGGTGCCGCAGCCCCGCACTTCTGAAATTCCCTGGCGCCTACCAGTATGGGCCATGTGAGGCCAAGGGAGCACATGCGTGCTGAAACACCGCGCATCAGCTGAGAGGGGAGACGCCCGGGCATGGCGTGACGTGACGCCACAGCCCAGGACTTTAAAACCGCGCAACCCAGCATTGCACCGCACGGTTCGCCGCCCTGCACGCTGGAAGGCAGAAGGTGGATGGCAGAGGAAGGGGCTTGGGCTGAGGAGAGAGGGGGCAGGTCAGGAGAAGAAAGGGGAGGAGAGACAAATGCCTGGGGGCCAAGTGGAGACAATGAGGAAAAGGGCAGGAGGGGAGGTGTTAGTGGGAGGGGGGATAGGAGGATAGGAAGAGGAGAGGGTAAGAGCATTGGGGGCTAAAATGGGGAGGAGGAGGTGCTGGGAGAAGGCTTGAAAGGAGGGGTGGACGTGAGGAAGGCGTGGATGGAGCAAGGCATGTGTGAGGGCACAGGGGCATGAGAGGAATGGTGGCAGAGGGTGGTGAGGGGATGGGCATCAGGGAAAAAGAGGGAAAAGGGTGCACGGGCAGTGAGGGAAGGGAGAGGCACCAGGAGGGTTCAGGGTAAGGGAAGGTGCAGGTGCCAGGGGATTCTGGGGGTGAAGCAGAAGGGCAGACACCTGCAGGGGAGGGACCAGCACCAGAGGAGAGAGGCAGGGCAGGTGTGTAGAGGGAGGTGTTAGGAGAGGGGATGAGGAGGGGTAGCTCGCATGATCAGAGTGGGCACCGAGGGGGGGGTTCTGTTTTTTCTCCAAAGGGGGGGCCCTGTGATATTGTGCTGCCCTGGGCCCCGCAAAACTCTCATCTGTCCCTGAGAGTGGGCCTAGGATTTCAGTTGTCAAGATCTAACCTTTCATTTTAAAAAAGTTGTTTCCATCACTCACGGTCACAAAGAAAGACTTGAAAGTATGAACAGAGCATAACCGTTGCCCTCCACTGACAGCCTCCGGCAGAGGGAAGAGCAGCAGCCTTCTGAGCCAGGGAAGACATTGCCAAGTCTCGCATATGCTGCCAGAGTAAACCTGCTATGGGAAGAGGGTGGGATGTTCCATTGGTTGGGCCAGGCTTTCCTGCTAGGACTCTGTGGAATTGGTTCCCCCAGGTAGGAACTAGAAGCACCTTTGGGCTCCTTTTCTTCCTTAATGTAGGAGTAAAAATGGTTGTGTCTTTCAAACACTGTCTATCAAGTTCTTGGTGGCACCAAAAAATACTTTACTAACAGCAGGCTCTGCAGCACATGACCCTCCCTTTCTATGGTCATATGTGGGATGCCAGAGAATTAGTTACCAGTGTTGACATTAAAAGAATCATCACTGAGCATCTGAGCTAATTTAGTCACTGGGATGAATAGCAGGTGCTTTGCAGATAGGAATCATTGCATCAATTTATGCCTGCTCCACATGTGCAGGGTGTTCTCCACAACCATAAGGAATTGATGTTTGGGACTCTTAGTTTTTTAAATGGAAATTGAGTACCTGGAGAACAAGATGAGTGCCGTGTCATTAATTCAGCATGACCTGTCGCAGTTTGAGACCTGCAGTATCTCCCAATCCAGCATTTCATTCTCTTCTTCTCCCTGAATTGTTAGGGTCTGTCTCCACTGCAGTTAGCCTGGGTATGTCTTGCCCCAGATGTTATATCTATCTACCTGCCTGTCCACATACTTAAACCTCTCACCTCAGCTTAGTGATAATTTAAACATTTGCCTTAATGTGGGGATGTGAGGTATAGCTGGGTTCTGCTTTCACTTGGGCTAGTAACCACCTACTTGGCAGTGAGGATGTAGACTAAATCACTGGAGTTCCGTTAGTCCTCCTGTACCTTCCCACAATTCTTTCTGTGTGCCATGAAGGACAGTCATATTCTCCATGATTCACAGAGAAGGAATCAGAACAGCTCACCTCACAGCTACACACAAAACCATGGGTTGTGCCCCTCAGAAGCTTCAGTGCCTCATATAAGGAAGTAAAGCATCAGTGAAGGCACAGTAAGTTAGGTTTGATATTATAATGTGGCTGCTCAGAGCCAGGCTAAGCTAACCTTGGTGCTCTTGATCCAGGATGAATCTGCAGTGAAAGATGCACCGTAGAAGCTTCTACTCTTCCCTCTCTGGCTTTCAGGCTTTGGAAGTGCTTTGAGTGATCCTTTTTTCAAAGTGAACCATGGAATGGATATACACAGTGTTTCTAGCTCAGGGACTGAAAAATACCCTTCCTCCTTGGCACAACATCCAGCAACATCTGTCATAGTTCTAGCTCAAGGTTCCATTAGATGTACGATGAAGGATACATAAATAGTCAATAATCCCTGTCCTTGCTAGTGACTCAGTAAGGATTGCAGTACTGCAATCTCTGTACATAGTGCTGTACAACATGGTAAGTGGGCCAATTTCATCATACTCTCATTGGTTTTGTATATTCCTTTTACTACGCTCTTTTAGTAACGATATCTTTGTATTTTTTTCCACAATTCACAAAATATTTAGAAGGGTAGATTGTGGCTGGGGATTGGTTTCTGCTGACAAGGCACTCTCTCTGTCTGAAATAATTCTGGCTACCTCGGAAACAGCAGCAAGATAAAGACTGGAGTTGTGGGCAGTGAGTCAAATGATGAATTTCTATATGAGTCACAAAAAAGTGAATTCATGATGGCTATTGTTTTTTTTTAATTTGCATGATGAACAAAATTGCACTGAGATGTAATCTTTTCAAACACTTGGTTAGCAAATGAGTTTTAATTGGGTTAGAAATAGTTGTGATTTTTATTAGGAGAAATATTGTAACTGATTTACTTTATTCTAAAAGTAGTGAAAATTAGCATATTTATGGATATTGTGTAGTTTGAAGTCCTGTGATGCTTTGCATCCATTTACCCTGGAGATGTAAGTTAAAATCCCCAGTTAGGTCACAGATCAAAATTAGGGATGTTAAATTTAGATTTACTGGATAATCTAATAGTCAATGCAATTTGCATTGACAGTTCAATTAGTCAGTAAGTGCACCTCTGCCTTTGAAGTGTAGGGCTGTTGCTACACTTCAAAGGTGAAAGTGCTGAGGGAAGCACGGGGCCAGCAGTGAACTCAAGCAGTCCCTCGCTGGCCAGGTGCTAGCTGCAGCGTTTCAAAGCAGCAGGGCCTCATGGAGCCCGAGGTCAGCTGGGGACAGTGACCGCATGGAGCCCGGGGTCAGCGCTGCCTCTTTGAAATGCTGTGTGCAGCCCAGGGCCAGCTGGGAGTCCAGGCCCTGGCTGCATGCAGTGTTTCAAAGCGGCAGTGCTGCATGGAGCCCAGGGTCTGTGCCCTGGCTCCATGTGGCACTGCTGCTTTGAAGCATCTCCTTCTTTTCCTCCTCTTGCTGCCTCTTTCTGAAAGAGGCAGCAAAGGGGGGAAAGCGACTAGTCGACTA